GATAGACGTCTGTACACATTCGTTCGCTTTTGTCTTTCGTGTGGGGCGATAAGGTTGGAATGAGCTAAGTTGCGGGCTCTTATCAGATGTGCCGTAAAAATAAAGCACACTTGCTCAACTTATTTATGTGCCCAAGATCCAAATATTTGGGCATTATGACACAAGTATCATGAGTATTAGGGGTACCCAAAGCTCGTCAGTCTTCGAGATAAGTCGGGGGTGCATTGACCAGGGTTTGCTCGAGGTAATTGGAGATTTTCCTTCAACTCTGTCTCTTTGGGCCACCCTCTTCGGGGCTTCGGCCTTTCCACTCATTAATCATTCATACATATTCATTCCAGCGCCACGCCTCCTTTCGTCGACCCCGAACATTTATCATTATCATTTCGCCAGCTTCCTCAATTTTCCATCTTGTTTGCTTGTCGGCCTTTTTCTATTTCCGCTGCAAACATGAAATATCTTTCAGAAGTTGTTTGAATATTTTTCCTGCCGCAAAAACTTATTATAATTTATGCACAAAACGTTGACAGTTATTGAGTTTAATAACGATATTTTTCTTTCTTTTCGCTCTCATATATTTGCATTTTTATCGAAATGAAAACAGCTGCCACAACTGGGGAAAGATAGCTTTATGTGAGACATTTCTGGGCTTGAGTCTGCGTTTGGGTTGGGCTTTTGGCCAGTTAGATGTCTGGCCAGTGATAAACCCACATCAGAATAAACTGGTCGCGAAAACTGTAATCAAGCCAAATGCAAATCGGGTTAACTGTGTTTTAACGAGTGTCATCAAAAAAGTGAACTTAAGTGATGACGGTTCGCCAGATAAAACGATGAAAGTAAGGGTGTGCTCAACGGGTGAAAGGTCTGTCCCATAATAGAATACCCTTGACTAGCCAGTAGCTACTTACTGACAATTCTTGAATTTCAAAGCGAAATTGGCCACGACTCAACCATTATAATCCGTCAGATCCAATAGCGCAATTATCTCATAGACATGCCAGAATAATTATAGGCAAATTAACGCTCTGCCTTTGGTCACAGAACCCAAATTGGTCAAATCACATTAAGCAGCGCAATTGAGCCGACCGAAAGTCAGAAAATAAAAGCAAAAAAACAAAGGCTGAAACGAAAATCTGGCCCAAACAAGTCTGTCAATGGATGCCGGCGACTTTGTTTTGTTTTCGCGTGTTTTTGTGCCTGACAAATTCAATGGCCAAAAAGGCTGTGAAACATTTTTGTGAATGTGACGGAAAAATCTGTAAACAAGCGTCAGAATGAGGCTGATTTAAACAGCCATAGATACGTTTGTAATAAAACCTTTGTAGAAAAAAAACAGTTAAGCAGTATCTTATATCCTTCTAATCGATTTATTTAATTTATATTTTATAAAACTAATTTGTTTTCCCTAAGTTAATTATTAAATTTTACCCTAAACCAATTATGGCTTCTGAAAAAAAAATTGTATCTGACAGAAGGTTGCTTTGGTTTTAATGTTTAGAAAACTGTTTCCAATATAATCCAAAGTCTAATTAAAAGTTTTACGATCAAAGTTCTATAAAATACATTCGATTTTCCAACATGTTCTGCTTTTTTATTTAAAACAGAACTTTTGAAGTCATAGTGATATTTTCTTTTTACCTCAACTGTACGTGTTTGCATTTAAAAAAGAATTCCCACATAGATGAATCAGAGAAGGCGGTCAACGGAAATGCAATTGGAAACTTTGAAAGTTTCAATGAACTCTGAGAAAAAATGAGTCAGAATCTTTGAAATCGGTTTAGTTAATAAAATGAAAACTATGTATAATTTATGGTTTAGATTTAGTAGGAATTTCCTTCCCTCGTTTTTGTTTATGTCACAGAAATCGTAACATTTTTTGGGGGCAATATCTCAAAAGTGGACCAGAGTGTGAGTTGTTATTGTTACTCGCAGTTATTGTGGTTGCTTTTGTATTTTTTCAATATATTTCTCGTGGCATCAGCTGCCGCAAAGTGGCTGCAATGTGTCGCCGAGGCGATTGAAATTCTTATTGAACGCCAGCCCAAGTGAAGTGAAGCAAAGTCAAGTCAAGTGTGGAGCGGTTTATTTCGTTTTGTTTCGCCAACGCCAACGGTCAGCGCCTAAAATGTAAGCCAGATATAATGGCCATAACAATAGCCATAAGCTGGCTAAAATTGAATTGTCTCTATCTGGCGTACGTGAGTGTATCTCGCCGAAGGCAGTCAGCCACAGATGAATAAGCTTGAGCTGCACTTAACCATTTAATTATTGATTTGCTCACCCAACGGATACATTAGCTATTTAGGTACCTATAAAAGGTAAAAGTTCAGAACAACAGGAAGGTCACGGGTTACCTGACTTACGTAAAAAACATGATAGAACTAAGGCAACTTTTATGTGAGCTTAGTTTATTTTTATAAATTTATATGTCCCCGAGAGATGAACTTTAGTGCTTAAAGTTGAACTGAAATATCAAATCAAATATGGTACTATTTATTTCACTAGAAAATTACCTAATTTTTGAAAATTTAAACATAAACCTCTCGAAAAGGTACTCCATTATTTAAGTTTCAAGCATAAATTGCATTTAAATGTGCTGCAAATAAGGTATTATTATATTTTCTCAATTAAACCTTTTGTAGCTACTTAATGGTTATAATCCCAGGGCAGTCTGCTATATTACAATCATATTATTGACCTTATTATTGTTTATGGCGACATACCATGGGCAGTGTCTGCGGCAGTCGCATTCGCTGGCTTTGCATTAAAAATAATTGTTTATTTATAGCAGTCGATTGGCTGCGAAAACCAGTTCGAATCGCAGCGTTTAAAGTGTGGAAAAGCACACAAACAAACAAATCGCAGCCCAAGGGCTATAATGGAGCGTATATAATTATACATATATGCTGATATCATCTTTAGATAATTGCACGCAATTTTCGCTGGTCGCCCACGTGATAATCGAAAGATATCCAACAGCTACTACTTCAACCGATATCTGTGGGCTGCATTTTGCGTGGGCTTCCGCTCATGGATTGGGTGGTTGTGGATGGATTGGAATGGATTGGCTTGGCTGATGGCATTTTAAAGCCACCGAACCAAAGTTATTTTTTATGAGCATCTATTTCCTTCGTTTGTCTTTCGGCACAGCGACATTAGTATGCAATGCCACTGCATTTTCCGTGTCAAGCATATGCGTACTGCCTGATTTCCACCCGCCGCAGCCAGTCAACCTATAAGCCATGTTAACGACGCGTCGCTGCATTTCCTTCATTTTCCTGAGCATTTCCATTTTCCATTCCCATTCCCAGCATGGCAAGCAAACAGCTAACAACAACCCACTTCTCGGGCCTTTTATTGCTTTGTTCTCTGGCTGGCATTCAATGTCTCTGAGCCTGTCTTTCATTGTTCCCTTTTTTGGTCTGCAACGAGTCTCGGTCTCTGTCTCTGCAGAGAGGAAAAATAATAATGAATAATATTAATAAAAAATATATTTAATATTAAAAAACCTTCTACCTTACCTTACCTTTATTATAAATATAAATACTCATAAAATATTCCTATTTATATTTAATTCTTTATAATTAGCCTGCCCCATATATTTTCTTTCAATGTGCCCCTTTCTATGCTGGCCTCAAATTGTTGTGGCACGAATCCCGGGGAGAAAAGGTTCTTCGATTCGAGTGACCATCGAAGCAGAATCAGCTCAATTACTCAACTTTTGCAGATCTCGTTTCCAATTTCATTGCAATGCAAACACATTTGCAGCCACACGACGACTCTCATTAGAGACAGTAAGGCTCTTCCAGGTGGAAAAGGTGCAGACATGCTCGGGCACACAACTTCGCATCTTGGCCAAGTTGAAGATCTGGCCCAAATAAAGTTTTCGGCACAAAAAGTTGGCCAACCAGCCAACCTCCTATGACCAGAGTCGAAAAGACAAAACAACCTCACACCATCGGCAGCCTTAACTTGAAACAGAAACTGAGTTGTGGTTGTGCTGGTTGCTTCTATAAAGCTACACTGAAAAAAATGGTAAATTAGAGTATTCTTAGCTAAAAGGAAAATCAAGAGAAAAATTTGAGACCAGTATCATTATAGTATCCCAATTTTTGATGCAGCTAGAAAAAGTTTTCTGTGTATTTTAAGGTAAATATATCTTTTTTGTGCACACTGAAGTGGTATCTTTGAGCCAAAGTTATTTTCAGAGAAAGTTTGAGCAGGCCGTCAAGAGCCTGTACCGAAATAGTTGCCAAAAAGTGACTTTGGCAACATTCTTGAGCCTTCTTTGGCTGCCGTTATGAAATTCAAGCCAGCCTCCGGGAGCCGGCTAATAAGTCCAGAAATGGAAAGTAAAAGTTCCGCACGCATGTATGAAAACCCACTACATAAAGTGCACTTCCACTTACGTTCGAACCGTATTGATGTAAACAAATTTTCCAGCTGCAATGTCGGTAAACCGGTTGCTCGGGTACGAAACCTGACCTGCTGCAAAAGCCTGACCAAAGAATGGGTAAGAAAGTGAATTTCATTTGCCTTGCCAGCAGCACAGGCAAAGTCCATTTCGGAGTACATGGCAGCAAAATGGAAAAATTAAGCACATCCTGTCCAGTGGGTTGAAGCACTCATGGAGACTAATAATAATACACTTGGTACAAAATAGACGACTAGTCACTAGAGGTAGGACAAATATAAGTAAACCTTTTAAGAGATTTTAATGAAAACTGAAGCACAAAAATATAGTTTTTGGGTGGGAGAGTGGAAGTCTTAAAAGGAAATACACAGGTGGACTAATAACAATACACACGATACAAAGAAGACACATAGTCGCTTTCAAAAGAAGGTAGGATTAACAGTAGGAAACCTTTTAATCTGAAGCATAGAAAATATAGTATTATGTTTGGAGAGCAAATAAACCTTTCAGGAGACTGGATTGAAATCTGAAGCATAAAAAATATAGGTTAAATGGAAATTATTTGTTATTGTATTTTTTAGCAGCCTAGATAATTTGGATTATAATAATAAAAGACCGAAAAAAATATAACCTTAACAATGAAAAGGTCAAAACATATCTTGATCACTTCTAAAGCACTTCTTGATCACATCTGAATCTCTTCTTAATCACTTCTTGATCCCTTCTTCATCACTTCTTGAGGTTGAAGGTATTGAGCTCCTCTTCGGTTAGGATGGACTTTTTAAGCGCGGACAGTACTTCGTTTGGCTGCTGGGCGAGCAGCTTCATGCGCTCCGAGGCCACAAAGGCATCCTGGCGCTCCTGCACATTGCGCAGTTCCTGGAGGATGTCCTCCACCTCCTGGGCGTCGGCCAGCCGACGCTTCTTGGCCTCCACCACCATATTGGCCATGTCGCGATAGCACTGGACATCCAATCGCCGGGTGTTCTCCTTCTGGGCCACCTGCATCCGATACTGCCGTTCGCCGAAGCACATGGGATCCTTGGCCATGATCAGGGCATCCTGCACGGCCTTCTCGCGGAAGAACTTCTGCTCCTTCCGCTGGCTGAGCAACTGTTCGCGGATCTCCTGCTTTCTGACCATCTTGTTCCTGGCCTGTTCCAATGCCTTCGCGTTCTCCTTGGCCTTGAACTCGCGAATCAGGAGACTGGTGATTAGCTGATCGCGAGATTCCAGATCGTGCTTGATCTGACTAAGCTGGAAGCCCAGTCGAGCGGCATTTATGTCCCTGGCTTCGATCTCCTCCCGGTGTCTTTTCTGGGCCCTGGAGACATAGGCCGCCGTCACGGGACCCAGGGCGTCGAGGACTCCTCTCTCCGGCTTGTTCTTCTGGGTCAGAGCGTAGGCCTCGCGGGTTTGCTGCAACATGGCTGCCGATTGGTCCAGGGACTCAAGGAGCACCCTGCGCTGCTCCACCTTGTTTATGGCATCTCGGAGGTTGTCCTTCTCCACCTTTTCTTTGCACTCCTTGAGCTCTTGACGTCCCTCCTCGATGGCCTTCTGTTGATCCTTTAGCCGCTTGCTGCGAGCCTCCGTGATCTGGGTCATGAGGTCATTGCGAAAGGCGGCAGCCTTCTGGCTCCTCCGCCTCTTCTCCTCCAGCTCCTCCTGTTCGATGGCCCGCTGCTTCTCCAGAGCCTCAGCCCGTTCCCGCTGCTTATCCTCCACCGTCTGCTTGATATTATTGAGGATCTTGTTTTTTACGGAAAGCGCAGTGTGGGCTCGGGCCACCTCCATCTCAAGATCCCTCAGATTATCCACATTCCTGTGCAGTTGCCGGCATCTGCTGGCCTCCACCTGCTGGCGAGCCAATTCTGCCGCCAGTCCAAGGGTTATATCCACATCCTTTTGCTTTTGACCCTGGCGTGGATGCATGTGGGTGTTGCGCTGGGCGGCCACTTCCTCCACCTGGTACTTGACCTGTCGGTAGAGAGTGTTTTCCGCCACTGAGGTCTGGGAAAGAATGCGGCAGGCATCTTTATCAGAGACACATTCATCGCCATTTGGCATTGGTTTCAAGTGGGTCAGCATGTTAGGGATGGGCTCCTGGGCAGTGGTGGCAAAGATCGCGACTCCAGGATTGTCCCAGACGCCATGGACAGGGCGATCCGACTCCGAGTGGTGGCCATGCATCGTGATTCAGAGAAACTTACCGCCTCCAGACAAATAAAATCTGTACTCAAATAAAGAAATAACCTGAAATGAAGTAATTTAGGAGTATTCTTAGCTTTTCTTGATTTTAACTTCAATGAATGTATTTTCTGTGTGTTAAAATCCAAATATGTGGATAACTAACTGAGATAGATTCAAGCTCACAGAAAAATTGACAGATATTACAAAACGAAATTTTTGGGATGGATGGATGTTAGGATCGTGAATTTGATTGTATGGTTCAAGGGAAACACTTCAAATAAAAATATCAATAATATTTAAATTATAAATAACTATACAATTTTCCACAGAAACAGAAGATATTTTTCCCGTTACTGAAAATCTCTTCTCCGGTAATTTTAAATAACTTTCTCTACTCGATTCTGGGAAGGCATTGCAGCTTTATGCAACTACTTTCCCTGAAGCTCAGAAACATGCACTCGAATGTGGGCCGCCGGAGGTTTTGTGGACTTCCAGTGGATTAGCATATTTGAGTGGGTTCTGTGCCATGAGGACAGGAGATCTCTATGCATGGCCACATGGGGGACCACACGCTCGACGGGGGGGGCCAACTTAATGGGGATACGAGTGCATCAAAGTAAAGCTCAAGTGCTTTCCCTGGCGAGGGGACCTCGGTGCCCTGACTATTGGTTATATGTTGCTATGAATTTACATACAAATTTGTATGGCAATCCCATCCCAACTAAACGATTGAGTTTCTAAGCTTGGATGCCTTGCACTCAATAAAAATAATATTTTTCCTGCATTTCAAATAGGTATTGAGTTTAATGGGAATTGGAATAAATGCATATGCAAATGAATATTTTTAATAGCTTAAATAGTTAAGACACTTCACTACAATCAGAACAGTCTTTATGGAAAGGATTAAAGATTCATTTTATTAAATTAAATAGTTATTGGGTTTAGGGAAATTTTAGTAAAGTGATAGGCAAATTAATATTTCTACAAAAATTAAATGGAACATAAAAACAATCAGAACATCCTTTATAAAAACATACCATTTTCGGATATAACCAACGATAAAGATCCCAAGAAAAGCAAACCTCATCAAAAATATGTAGTCTTGTTTTGGAACTTTGCAATTGGTTGGTCTAAACTAAAAGGGGTTTCTGCGAGTGCTGAACTAGAAGTTCTCCAGCGATCTGTCGACCATATTTATCGTCCAACCTCCATAATTTATATATAGTTATCTAACTGCTGAGCGCTGGTTAAATGCTGCCCTGTCATCGCCGTCTTCATCATCGTCATCGTAATCATCGGCGGCAGAAAACAGCGGAGCTCCCAGACCATCAGTCACTGTCCACGACAGCAGCACTTTGGATGAGTCTCTGGCGGAGGAGATGGAGGTTGTGGATGAGTTGGAGGGATGAGTAGCTCCAGTAGCAGCTGCAGCTTCCGAAGGCACTTTCCTCCACGCATTTGTAGCTTGTCCATGCTTTTTGCCGGCCAGAGTCCGGATAACCTTTCCATTTTACAACTGTCAACCGCGCAGCGAATGCGATTTGCCAGCGGTTTGTTTTATTTTTTTTTGTACCATTCCCCCTTTTTATTTATCTATATATTTTTCTTATTTTCCCCAGTGTGGTAATTACGCGTAAAGTTGTGTGCCTGCATTTGAAATTGTACGCAATTTTCCCAAAAGTGTCAACGCATGTCGGGCTTTAAAGTTTTGAAAAATGTTAATTTGTGTTCGCTTTTTTTCCCCTATTTTTTCTATAACCACTGCAGCTGCTGTTGAGTTTTGTTTGTTGTTTGTTGGTAATTCGAATCGAACGCGTCTGGCATTACATGACACTCATTATTGCACATTAAGTTGAACGGATGATGGAAAGTGGTGGTCTGTCTCCGTCCCTATGAGACAGCACAAATGGCTGACTGGCTGGTCTGGCTGGACAATAGAAAGCATTGTTGCTTACCTTAATTGATTTAATAAGTATATCTGCCACTCGCACGGAAGTTCGGCATTAAGCCTTTAGCTAGGTCATCGTCAATTAAACAAGCCATCTTCGGAGAGAAACTGACTTTGTTTGGTTCAACGAACTATCAGGGGGATTTCTTTGGGTGTTTAACCTTTAAAGTTTTAAATGTGACGAGCTCTTTTATGTCATTGTTAAAATTACGAATAATTGCGTATACTGGCAAAGAAATATAGAACAAAAACAAATAGTCATCTAACTTATTTCAGAAGAAACTTTCTTGAAATCAAGAACAAGATACTCTTAAATTTGTTTTTCAAGATGAGGCGATCAAGAAATACAGATAAAAGCTGATTCTACTTTGTTTTTCAGAACACTTGTTTTTAATTTAGAAAACTTAATTTTAAATCAAACTTTTGGAATCGAGATAATATTTTTGAGAACGTTTTTTTCTAAGTATATTGTAATGAGTTTTAGCTTTTGCGCATAGTGCCACCTGAGTACCGAGAATTACTACCAATATAGAGTTCCCAATCGGGTACTCTGCCTTCTTTGCCATAAACAGATTCGAGGAACTCTTTTCAAGCAAAGGCAAGCCTTTTCCTATTTGTTGACCCGGAATGTCCGACAAGTAAGGAATGCACACAATAGAAAAGCGCTTGCATTTCCATGCACCCTACATATCACATATCTACATACATATATAGTTGTAATATAGGGTTTCTCGTATTCCACTGGGCAACCGCATAAAGGAAACTTGACCCCTTGTCCCCAGCGGCACTTGAGTGCGGGATTTGTGCAGTTGATTCTATTTTATTTATATACTTTGACTTTGATTCCATTTAAAATTGAAACTTCCCCGTAACTTTAGACGGGGCAATCAATAATTTCAGAAATGCTGCCGTTGGCTGGGACAAAAAAAAAGGTGCAGAACGGCGGAGGCAATATGGAAAAACTTTCAACTGCAAGTGGCAGCCAGCTCAAGACAAAGTTTCAAGTGCAATTTTCATGCAAACAAATACACCGGTCACCGGGGGGCACGACCTCAGTTGGGTTTATATTTTATTGAAAATGAAAATATCAATTTGCTTTTCAAGGTACACATAATGACATTTTACAAAGAGGTTTCAAAGCTTACAGATTTATTGATACTTCACTATGTGGAAAGGGAATTTATTTCTATTTCATACTGTTTAGAAATGCAATTCAATTATTAAAAATAAGTATATCACTCAAGGGAAAATATAAATTTGGTTTAATTAATTTTATTCGACTTGGAGATTTAAAAATAGTATAAATTCCTCACAGTGCTTTAGAAAACTATTCGTCGTCTATCTGAGACAGAAGAAAACATAGAAAGGATAAAAAAGGTGCAAGATATGCGGATATGAAAGGAAAAAACTATGGCTTTACTAAAAAGAAAATTCACTTACAAAGTAGGTAAGCAGATATTCCAAGGAATCCTTGTGTATTGGGAAATCTAAGCGCCTCTTAAGTCAGAAATACGTGCTTTATTTTGTGAGTTTTCCATGCTAACGTTATGCTTCCGCGCCTGTTTCTGGTTCAAGACACAGAATGAATTCTAATTAAATTGTGTTTATAAATAATGGCCTTTTGCCCGGGCCAACCACCAAATTGAGTTACATAATTATGCGTGGACTGGCTGTGGCTGTGGCCTAAACCAGAAACAAAAACCAGAGTGGGGCGGAAAAAGGCGAACCGAGGCAATCAGTCAAACCCAAAACAGCGATACAAACATGAGGATTTGGGGTAGAAGTGAGGGGGAGATTGGTAGGAGCAGCATTTCATCGATATCAAAGTCTCGATGCTTACACACTTAATCGAATTTAGCGACAATTTCACCGAGTTTCCATTAGCCGGTTGTAATGGATGATTTTCCAATTACCGGTCGCCCTGCCACTTTGCTTTTCCCCAGTATTTTAGGACCACACTGCGTATGGGTAATGGCAGTGGAAACAGAAAATGCGATGCCAATCGCACGCACATTCGTCATCCACCTTTCACTCCGCAAAATGCAAATCGATGGGGGCAATAGCAGGGTTTTTGTTTCCTTGTGGCTTTTGCCAAATTGCTCGCTTTCTTTGTTCCCCCGAGTTGATGTTATGTTGATGCCGATGTCGATGTCGCTTCATCGAGCCCAACAGCCACATTTTGGCATTTCCGAATGGCAAATAAAATTGATACACTTTCATTTGTGGTCGCGTGTGTGGGTTGTGGATTTGAGTGCACAGGGAAAAAGTTTAATAGAAATTCGTGTTTCTGTTTCGCATTTTATTTGAGTTTTTAAGTTACCTTAGGGCCGATTTCTCAATGTGAGGTTAAATTTTGTCTTTAAGTTAAAATTTAGTAGCTCAATATGATGTTAGGTTTTGCTTTTCTTAAACTGCTTAACTAGAGTCATGTTCTAGTTATATTTTTTGAAACTGACATCAAAGAGATTGCTTAAAGATAAGTTCATGTTAACTCTCTCTAACAGAACACGAACTAAGACCTTAACATGACATTTAGAAATGGGAACTTAATAGTGTAATTGTTATTTATTTATTTGTTTATAGATACATTAAACACAAAATTAGTTTATGAATATCAAAAATGTATTCTATCTCTAGACTACCTTAGGCCCGATTTCTCAATGTCTTGGTAACTCATTGAGTTAACATTTAGTATCCCAATTTCATGTTAGGTTTTAAATGGTTGAAAACCCCTAGCTAGAGGCATGTTTTAGTTAAATTTTCCAGTTGCCCAAACGAAACTGAAAAAAAAAGACACAAGGACTGCAAACTTTCTCTAACAGAACACTGACTGGAACTTTAACCTGACATTGAGAAATCGGATTTTAATAGTGTGATTGATATTTATTAGCTTAGAAATATTTTAAACAATAAATCTTTTAAAATCTTTCCGATGTTTTATATTTCTTGCACACCAGTAACTTTCAATAATACTGCTCTAAATTCCAATCGAATTAGTTTAAATTCCCTGAACCGAATCATGTGTGAATGCTATATTTTTTCCATGTGGATGTGGTGGGCCGACTGTTGCCTTTGTCATTTCCATCACAATCAATTTTTAATGCCCAGCATTCAGCTGCCCGAGATCACGAACCCGAGCACGTTCCTCGAGCCCCATGCCCCATGCCACATGCCACATGGCCACATGGGGCACGGTGCGGAAACATGATTTGC